ACTGCAGAGCCCCTGGCCTCGACGTCCTGTCAGGACTGGGGTCCACGAGGGCTCCCTGACTGGTCTACTCGTGGGAGGACAGAGTCCACCAGGAACTCTCGCGGGTCACCGTGCCTTTCTAGGCCACCTACGTTCTCTAGATCCTCTCACGTGACCCCTCCAGAGGAATGAGGGAAATTTGGCGGGTGCAGGGGGGACAGGATGTGGAGGGTGACTGGGAGACCACGGGGGGGCGGTGACGGGGTCAGGCTCAGCACCAGGGGCCCCAGTCTAAACCCAGAGCACGTGAAGCCAACCCCGAGGGGAACCCACCCCACGGCCTGGCACGGGGTTCAGGCAGACGCCCAGCGCCCGCTGGCTGTGCCTCGGGAAGACCCACATGAGGCAGGAGGTCTGGGCAGAAGTCACACAGCCACAGCCCAGGTCCCCCAGCGCCCTAGGTAGATAAGCGAGGCGGTGGGTGGCCCTGTGGCCAGGTGGGTCCGGCGCCACAGGGCTGGGGGCTGGTCGCAGGAGACGTCCCTGTGAGAGGGCTTTGGAAGTGGCAGGAGTTGGGGTGCAGAGACACAGGGCCTGGCAGTGGCTCGGAGTCCAAGTGACGGGCCCTCCCGCATGCATCGCGGAGAGCACAACCCACAGACTGGCACAGCTTCTGGGGCGCGGAGCAGGCGAACGGCTCCAGACAGGGCCCTGAAGCCCCCCGCGGCTCCTCACAGCGCCCGGGGTCACCCGGGCCAGGCCCCACGGGGAAGCACTGCCGAAGACCACAGGCTGGGGCGTCGGGTCGGGGGGCACGGGGTCTCAGAGGACTCGCTGCTGCTGGGGAGGGAGAGGCCACCTGGACACCCACCCTGAGCCTCCGTCAGCCACCGGAGTCCTCTCCCCAACCCACTGCGGCTTGGGGCGGCCCTTCCGTCCTCCTGGTGGGGGTCAGTGGGGCTGCCGTCCCCCTGGAGAGAGGCGAACATGCAGACCCTCAGCCCCGCGAGGAGTCCCCGCCTTCCCCCCACTTCCTCCCCACTTCCCAGTGGCTCAGACCAAAGTCGGGGTACCCTCGCCCCCACCCCTGGTGCTGAGAGCTCTGCTTCCAGAGTGTGTCCCCAAATGAGGTGTCTGCCAGTTCCCCACACCAGACACTGCCCCCTACCCCGCCGACTCCAGTCCACGCTGTCTGGGGTCGGCGTGGGGCTCAGGGCCAACTGGTGCCCCCCCTAACCCCAAGACCCACAGGGACGTCAGCTGGGCACCTGAGCTGTCTGTGCTCTGAAGTGTCCCTGGCCTGGGGCTTGTGAACAAATGGACTCCGCTGGCCTACAACTGTCCCCACCCCAGCTTCTGCTCTGCTGCCTGTCCTGTCTGCTTTCCGCCCCACAGCCGGGGCAATGGTCTGAGAGCCCAGAGCTGACCGAGTCCCCGCCTCCCGGCCACCGTGGTGAAGACCAAAGTCCTCCCGGGCCTGCGGCTGGACTGTCTTGGCCTCCCCACGGGCCTGCCTCAGCCTCCCTCAGCCTCCGACACTGCAACCTCCCCTCCGTCCAGGAGCACCTTCCCCGGCCACCCTGTCACCTCCGGGGCTCTGTCTCCAGAAGCTGCCTGGACCCCTGCCCCGGGCGGGCCCCACCCAGCGATGCCCACAGCCTCACTGTCTCAGCCTGGCCAGCCGCCTAGGCCTGGCGCCAGGCCAGCCTTCAGTCTCCGGGAACAGAAGAATTTTAGAGAGAGAAAGCCTGGCCTGGTCCAAGGCTCAGAGTGACCGTGGTGTGGGCAGCTGTGGGCTGCGACTCCCTGGGGAGCGCATGTCTCAGGGCCTAGGCGGGGCCAGGGGAAGGGCCGCCCACCCAGGGGCAGACACTGTCCCACTGCAGAAGGGCCCTCGGCCTGGGCCTCCACTAAGCCCTGAGCTGCGGAGGGCTCCGCAGCCTCAGCGGCCTCCCTTCTCCCCCGAATTTCCTGGAGATGCACCTGCAGGAGGCCCCAGGGCATGTGGGTGGGGAGCTTGCAGCAAACCCTTTGCAGGCCTGGGGTCTCGGGGTCTGTGGGCGCGGCAGCCATACCTGCTCCTTATCTTGCCCGGCGCTGCTGTGGCAGCAGCTTCCAGGGGCAGGACCGGGACCCCAGGCCGCCGGGCGGGGCTGAGACGCTGCCCTCCGCCTCTCTGTCCCCAGGTGCCTCAGTGAGATGCTGCCTTGAAACATGCGTTTCGGGGTCCCCTGCTCCTTGTTTCCCCAACGAGGTTACAAATGGTTGGAAGCAACCCGACCTCTCCAACACAAGTGGGGCCACAATGCACTTAGCACCACGTGAGACACTCAACACACGTGCGGAGTCAGAATAAACGCAGCTCTTCTGCTGGAGTGACGAGACTGGACTGGCCCTGACCACCCCGAACGAGGAAGGGGCCACGCGGCTCAGCGAGCACACCCCTGGGCTGTGGGGACGCCCACTCCGTGTCTGTGCGCAGACGGTGCCCCGCCGGGCAGAGGCCCGCGCATGCGCGGTCTGTGCGGCTCGCGGGCCGGGGCGCCAGGCTTGGGCGCGAAGGGAGACGTCGGAGTGGGCCTGGTCCCCGGGTCAGGACTAAGTGTAAGTCCCGAGTTCTCGGTGGGGTGAGGGGGACCCACATCAGAGGGCTGGGCAGTGGGGAGCCCCTACGGTTAATGCAGCGGAGACCAGAAGTCTGCTTTGCGCCGCACGGAGCTCGGTGGATTCTGTGGGGTAGCCCCAGCCTCGGGGGGCGTCGAGCCCAGGGGGTCTGCACTGTTGGGGCGCGGTGGCTGGCTCGACGTGACCCTGGTTTGTGGGGCCACGCGCGAGTGGGCCGGCTCGTTTCTGAGCTTTGGCTTCGAGGCCGGAGGGCTGCGAGGCATGCGGGCGCCGAGGTGCCTGGCGTGGGCAGCTGCACTTGCGAGGATCCCTGGGCTAGAGGTGGGGGACCCCGGCTACAGCCCTGTGCCTAGAGGTCCTGGGTGTGGGGCGCAGGGGGGAGAGCGAGCTGTGGGGACACCTTGGGCCGGGGCTCAGGGGCGGGGCTCCAAGGTGCATGGGAAAGGAGGATGGGACGAGCAGTGAGGGGCTCCCGCGAGCAGGAAGAGTTGGGTCAGTGAAGCCCATGCTGAGCCATGAGGAGGGCCTTGGGGACCTGGGCAGGGTCGGTGCAGGGGACCCCAGGGGACCAGGTTCCCGGGGCACAGGAGGGCTGGGAAGAGGGAAGGGCTGGGCGAGGGCTGGGTATGCGGAGGTCCCCAGCTTATTCTTTAAGTTGCGACTGTGCGGGCAGCATTGAGGCCAGGCCCCACCCAGGGCACGCAGGCTGGCCGCCCGGGGTCTTCACTTGGGATGCACCCCTGTTGTCCTGACAGCCCCCTCTTACCCTGCGAGTGGGACCCGTGATCCCAGGGGTCACACAGATGGGACGTGGCACTGTCAGGCTGTGTCCGAGTGCCTGTGCCCGCCCTGCCCAGGAGGAGGCCCTCTCAGGACGGTCCTGTGCTCGGACACCTGCAGTCACGGCTCGTCCCGGGCCAGGCTAACTCTCGGGTCAGTGCGCTCCCTTCTTGCTGACCCGCTGGTGCCCTGGCGGCTGTCCGTGGACCCTCAGAGCCAGGCTCCAGCCAGCACACTGGGGCCGCACGGAAAAACGCTGGGTGCTGCACTCCCCAGGGTCCACCCTTCACGTCATCATCCTTCCCGTGGCCTCGTAGAAGAGAGGAGGTGGCAGAGGAAGGGACCAGCCCCTCTGCCGCAGAACTGGGGCCGTTCTTAGGGGAGCCGTGTGAGCTTCAGTTTGGGGCACACCCAGAGCCCCAGGGTGAGGCCGGCCCTGCCATGCAGGACAGGCCGGGGCAGTGTGGGCCCTTCCCTGACGGAGACTCGGAGACTCGGCAGCAGAGACGCAGCGTGAGACCCTCTCTGGGTGCTCACCTTCCACTCCTGACACCACGTCCCCCGGGGGGAAGCCCGTGGGGGATGCATGAGCACTGTGACCAGGCAGCAGGGCCAGGCAGCTACACCGGCGCCAGGAAAACGAGGCCGGAGGCGGGGGACCCAGAGAGCTCCTCAGAAGCAGCAGAGGGCGGGAGACCTGCAGGAGCCTTGGCCTAAGCGGGAACCGAAGGGGGAACAGCTGCCCAGCACCCCGAGTTCTCTGAGGTCTCGCCCCCAAACCCAGGACGTCGGTGCCGCCAAGCTCCAGAGGGAACCTCTCCTCTTTGCCTCACTCCTCCCCCGTCCCTGCCACCGACTGTCCCGTGGGGGGCAGCGTGTCCTCAGATGGGGCTCCCCCTGGCCCTCCCCCAGGCTCCACCTGGTAAGTCACACATGGCATCACCTCCACCGCCTTCCCAGGACCTGCAGCACAAACTGTGGCTCTGTGGCTCTTCGGGACGCTGACCTTCCCCTCACCTTGCCGGCAGCCCTGCCACCCCACTTGCTGGCTCACTGGAGCGAGCTCAGAGGAGAAGTCTGAGGACGGGGACTTTAAAGAGAGACCTTCTCGCTGGAAAAATCGCTCCTATAAATAGCATTTTGCAGGGTTTAATTTTGAGTGGCACCGTTTTGCCTTCTGCACTGGGAACAAAACATCACTCCAGCGCCTACCCGCTAGGACATTTTCTCTCTCAGGGCGTCAAAGCCCCCTCGCCCGACACGGAACACCCGGCGCAGGAGCCCCAGGGCGGAGCGGCGCGGCGCGCGCAGGGCAGACCCGAGCCCCGAACGCGGGACCCGGGGAGCCCGGAGCGCGTGGGCCATGACCCT